ACAGAGCGGAGTTCATAAACAAAATAGTATTAAATGAAACCATCGACCCACCTTTTACTTTAATGGAATTAAACTCCGCATATAAATCATTTAATGCTAAGAAAGCTCCTGGCTCAGATGGTTTCACAGCTGACATATGCTGCCAAGCCATCTCTAACGACCCACTGGTATTCCTGGCCCTCCTGAACAAATGTCTCGCCTACAATTATTTTCCATACGCCTGGAAAGAAGCAACCGTCGTTGTACTTAGGAAACCAGGGAAAGACGATTACTCCACTCCTAAGTCTTACCGGCCTATTGGGCTGTTGCCGGTACTCGGCAAAATTTTGGAGAAAATGCTGGTGGCCCGCCTTAAGCACTACTTACTTCCAAAATTCTGCGTAAAACAGTTTGGGTTTCTGCCACAGAAAAGCACCGAAGACTCCCTCTACATCCTGATGAGACATGTTCAAAGTAAACTTGAGCAGAAAAAAATAGTCACCTTGGTCTCGCTAGATATAGAGGGGGCGTTCGACAGTGCTTGGTGGCCAAAAATTAAGATCCGCCTAGCCGAGATGAAGTGTCCGCCAAATTTGAGGCGTACTATCGACAGTTATCTAACTGACAGGAGGGTCAGGGTTAGGTATGCGGGAAAAGAGTTTGGCAAAAATACTGATAAGGGGTGTGTTCAAGGGTCCATTGCGGGACCGCTACTGTGGAACCTTCTCCTTGACCCAATCCTTCACGAGCTGAGTGGAATGGGACTGCATTGTCAGGCATACGCTGATGACGTTGTGCTCGCATTTGACGGAGAGACCGGCAGTGAAATCGCAAAACAAGCGAATGCCGTGCTCGAACATGTCAGGGTGTGGGGCGTCGAAAACAAGCTCAAGTTTGCGCCGCATAAAACTAGCGCTATGGTGATTACGCGGAAGCTGAAATTCGACGCCCCACGCCTGCGTATGGGTGGAACCGACATCATCATCTCCAATGAAATTAAATTACTAGGATTGACTATTGACAATAAGCTAACATTCGATTCTCACGTTGCGAACATCTGCAAAAAAGCCACAACTGTTTACAAACAGGTATGTCGAGCGGCTAAAGTCAATTGGGGACTCCACCCGGAGGTAATCCGCACCATCTACTTGGCCACGGTGGAACCAATAATCCTGTATGCCGCTAGCGCCTGGGTTTCGGCTGCCCAAAAATTGGGAGTGAAGCGAAAACTGGGAACGGTGCAACGCGGGATTGCTCAGAGAATCTGTAAGGCGTATCGCACCGTTTCGTTGAACTCTGCGCTGATCCTTGCCGGGTTACTCCCTTTAGATCTGCGTGTCCGGGAGGCTGCTTCACTGTACGAAGCCAAAAAAGGGGGAAATAGATTTGCGTTGGGGGACAGGGAAGTTGAGCGGATGATTTCAACCACCGTGAATCCGCATCCTGCTGAGCGCATCGAGTTTGAGCTGGGCAGCCTGATGAACGTGGAGGACGTCAACGCTCTCAATAACTTTGAGATACGCATATATACCGACGGTAGCAAGATCAAAGGGAGAGTAGGTGCAGCGATCTCCGTATGGAACAGCGAATCTGAAATCAGAGCCCGAAAACTTGCTTTACCGAACTACTGTACGGTATATCAGGCTGAGCTCCTCGCGATATGCAGGGCCACCAACGAGATCAGGACACTTAATGCTTCTACATTTGGTGTCTTTAGTGACTCCATGGCGGCTCTGTTATCCATCACCAACTACGACTGCTTGCATCCCCTGGCCGTGGAATTCAGACAAAATTTAAAAATTCTGTCTAACCAAAATAAGAAAGTATCCTTGTTTTGGATAAAAGCCCACGCAGGACTTGCCGGGAATGAAAGAGCGGACGCGTTGGCAAAAGCAGCCGCTGTGGGGTCCAAACGGAAAAGTGACTATGATCTCTGCCCTGTCTCCAGCGTAAAAAGTGGGCTCCGTTTGGAGTCGTTAAATATGTGGAACCGTCGCTACCTTGATGGTGACACTGCTTCCATAACAAAATTGTTCTTCCCCGAGGCGACGGCAGCATACAGGACAGTAAGGAAAATGCAAATTGATAACTTGTGCACTCAGGTATTAACTGGGCACGGCGGGTTCTCGGAATACTTAAATAGATTTAAGTGTAAAGACAACTCGTCGTGCACCTGCGATCCAGATACTCCTGAAACCGTTCCCCATGTATTGAGTTTTTGCCCTCGTTTTGCTACTTTGCGATTCTATGTGGAGCAGTTATTGCAAACTGCAATTGTACCAAAAAATTACAGCGCAATAATCTCCAGTAAAAGTCGCAAATATTTCATCGAGTACTGCACCAAAGTTTGTAAAATAGTTATAGATAATAATAAAACATAGAATAGTAAAATATGTTAACATAATATAATGTATATTATAGTATAACATATGTGTAGTAATTGTATAAGCAACTTAGCAGTAGGTAGTAATAAGAGTAAAGATATAATAAATAATTAGTTTGTTGTCCTGTTTGTAAGTAACCTGTATTAAAGAAAATTTGTCCACCGTCTTTTATTACTTAAGATTATAAGTTAATTCTAATACAAATAAATAGCTATATTAGGGAAATAAGTTGGGTAATCCACCCACAAGAAGCATAAATGAGATCGAATGACAGAAAGACCTAGTATGAAGCATGAACGGTATCGAACGCCTGCGAGAACTGGTATGCATGAGAATACGATAACATAGGCTCCGATTATGTTGGAGGTAGGTGAATAAAAAAAAAAAAAAAAAAAAAAACCTAACCTAACCTAACCTAACCCATTACATTTAAATTTGAATTAAAATAACATTGAACATAACACAGCCAGCTTATTAAATAGCGAATAGAACGAAATAGAACTAAATTGAATGCTTGGTTTGGTTACTTGCTGTCACTGACTTAGATGTACATATCTAGTGCATAATAATATTAGTTTTAGTGTGAATGTGAAATACATCACTACTTAGAAATACCTATAANTTCCCGACGTCTTGGAGAAATTTCACCAACTCGAAATCGTGAACTATGTCGAGACACGTCATTTGACACTTCGAACTTCGAAATCGGAGCATCCCCCTGGAAGTTGGAAGACTTTGAAGGCACTACGAACTTAGATCTCATCCAGAGCTGAAACAAGATCTATGACGTCACCTTTTCTGGACCCCTAGATATTGCCCACCACTTGGACAATAATTGTACAAAATTTCAGGAATTTTTGACAGGTAGTTTTCGAGTTACAGAGGACATAAAAAACCTGTGACGTCACGCAGAGCCGAAAGTACCTATGACATCCTGCTCCCGGCAGCACCCTAAAGAAAACCTCCTACAAGGAAGGAAACTCCTCGGGACCAACCCCCTGAGACGCGAAGTTTCTGCACTAGAAGCTATTTGCAGAAAATTGTCAGCCACCTCCAGCTTCGGCAGCTTCCTGAGGGTGGTGTGGACTACGGAGGACCTCCGGACAGGCGGGACATCAGGGACCGGTTCACCTCCTGTGGAACAAAATTTTTAGATTGTAAGTAGGACTAAGGATAGATTTTATATAGAATTTAAGGTGGAACAAGGGTACCGGCCGGCATTACCGCTTAAGTTTGTACACCCCCTGGAGCCTCAGGGGAGCGAGATATCGCAAAAATAACAAAAAATCGGTTGTCTTGGGGACAAGCGATCATAGGGTCGACTAACATATTGGCACCCCAAAAAACCACCCCCAACGAGATTTTTTGGAAAAACGGGAAAAATTTCGGTTTTCCCGATTTCCAAAGCAGAAAACAAGGGACTTGACGGTAAATTTGGGCCGCGACCAATACCCCAGTATTTTTCCCCGTCTCGATATCCCGTTCCTAAGGCCAAAACCAGGCAAACGAAGCTGGCAAAAAACTACCCCTAAGTTTGAGGGCGAATAAAAAATCGACCGAGTGACCTATCCCTTTGTGATCTCGGGACCGGACGGCCCAAATTAAAATACTGCACCCCGGTACTTTTCCCGGCGAAATCGAAAAATTGGAACTAAATTAACAGGCTGTTTAAAATACTTATTCAAGCAGTTCGACGGCAGAGGGATAAAGTTGTTTAGGTATTTAAAAATTCCAAAAATACCTCATATCTCGTAAACCGTGCGTCCTAGCCCAAAAATAACGAAAAATTTCTACCCCCCTCCCTAACCCACCCCCCCTGCTCCGCAAACCCTAACCCTTAAACCTCCCCTCCCCCCGCACCCAACCCCTAGGGTCCCAACCCCCTACCCCTAAAATTAACTTATGACCATTATTACTTGGACTCTGAAAAATTTTTAGTAGCAAATTTTATAATTATAAAATATTAAAAAATTATTGACTATTATTTTGGCATACTCATAAATAGGTAGTATAAGGACACTTTAGGGGTAGCAACCCCCAAATTAAATAAACTGCCTTATCTCGCGAACGGGAAGAGCTACAGTAACGGGGTTTTTTGCATGCAATAGGGCTTAGTCTCGAGCAGTTTTTTTTTGGACAGAGGTGGAGACTCTACGTAGAGTCGAAACTTAAAAATTTTACATTATACGATCGAAATCGAATTGATTGACCGTGTATCTTTTAAGTTGTAAAAATACCTACCTAGTTACATTCTCATACTGACTCTAGGTAGAGAAAAATTTTGTGCGATCCAATAACAAAATTTTTTGCATACATTCCTACACACACACACACACACGCACTCACACACATATACACATACACACACATACACACATACACACACACACACACACACACACAAGTATATAAATAAAAAAAACCTTCTTACCGACACTCGACGAGTCTAGAACTCGTATAGCCTGACGGAATCTGTAACAAAAAACAAAAAACAGAGATATAATTTTTTATTTATTTTATTTTGCTTATTTGTACCGTCCCTTATATAACTTATACAAACCTTTTGTGACGTCCTGTTTATATAATTATATTACGTGACATTGACGCGTCCTCACTGCAAGGAAAATAAAAATTAAATTAACGATGTACGCAAATATTAGAACCCCAGTGACCAAAAACCTAAACTCTCCTCCGAAAAACGCAGATCATGCTGGATCATCCAATACAGATGACCCAAATATTACAAGAAGCGTAAGACGAAGTGTGGGAGAATGGGAATCAGCCAAGGCCGACCAAGCCATAAAATTGAAAACACCAACATCTCCCACAAAAAAGCCATCTGAAGCCCCCCAAAAACAAAAAATACAAGGCTTTCCAAGCAAGACTGCGGAAGCTAGAGCCTGTCTTAGTAAGGCCAAATTAAATCTTGAAAATTCGAGAAATTTGAAGACTGATATAAAAATGGCAGTCTTACAAGCAGTAGAAAGGCTTTATGAGCTTGTAAAAGAGGCGGAAGGAAAAGTTACAAGGGGGCAGAAAATAGAGGAAAAGGGAACGCATAAAGAGAAAGAAGCAGAGACCAAGGAAAAGGATAAAGGTCAGGATGAGACCTTAAATGCATTAAAGAAAAAACTGGAAGAAAATTGCAGTCTCCTAAGAGAAAACTCCGAGAAGATGGAAGAGCTAAAACAAATGTTCAGGAGTCAAAAAGCGACTTATGCGGATGTGGTGGTATCACAGCCGGGGAGGCAACCCCCAAAATGCACCACATTACATTCAATAATGGTCTCATCTAAAGACGAAAACGAAACAGGCGATGGTATTCTCACGGAACTCCGGAAAACAGCCAGTGAAGATGAAGGGTGGGTGAGAGTGGAAAGAGTGAGAAAGATTAAAGACAGGAAAATTATAATGAGTTATAGAACAGAAGAAGAGAGAACAAAGGCAACACAAAGATTAAAAAAGTCAGAGGGGGAACTCGTCGTTGAAGAGATAAAAAATAAGGATCCCTTATTGATACTCTATAATGTTTTAAAGATGCATTCCGACGAGGACCTCCAAAAAGCCTTAAGAAGCAAAAATAAAGACCTCTTCCGTAACCTCAACAAAGAGGATGACAGGATAGAGGTAAAATATAAAAAGAGTGCCCGTAACCCTCACACCCACCACGTAGTGCTAAAAGTGTCCCCAACCATCTGGAACCGAGCCCTGAGCATGGGGTCGCTGCACATTGATATACAACCAGTTAGAGTGGCGGACCAAACGCCACTGGTGCAGTGTACCCTTTGTCTGGGGTTCGGACATAGCAGGAAATTCTGTAAAGAAGCTTTACCGAGCTGCAGCCATTGCGGCGGACCACATATGAGGGCCGACTGTCCCGACAGACTGACAGGCATAGAGCCTACCTGCTGTAACTGCCGGAAGGCAAATATGACAACCACAGCACACAACGCTTTTAGTAGGGAGTGCCCCGTAATGGCAAAATGGGACAATATAGCACGGCGAGCAGTGGAATACCACTGCTAAAGTTAGACCAAAGAATGGACCCCCATCACCCCCCTACAGAGTTTTGCAAGCAAACCTCCAAAGGAAAAAATTAGCAACCGCTGAGTTGGCCATTGAAGCCGCTACTCGGAAAGCTGCAATAGCCTTAATTCAAGAGCCATACGTGGGCGGGGCAAAGAGTATGAAAGGATTCCGGGGCGTAAGGGTCTTCCAAAGCACTGCACAAGGAGATGGGACTGTCAAAGCTGCGATAGCTGTCTTTGATCACGACTTGGACGTGATACAGTACCCGCAACTCACCACCAATAACATCGTGGTGGTGGGGATCCGGACCAGGGCCTGGGAGATCACGCTGGTGTCCTATTACTTCGAGCCAGACAAGCCCATAGAGTCTTATCTTGAACAGATCAAAAGGGTAGAGAGAAAAATGGGACCCAAAAGGCTAATCTTNGCTTCCTCGAGTAGCTCCTTGTCGATGCGCTTAAGTGCCCAGCGTGGGCCGTCGTTAATCGGGGCTGTTGGCTGGCGGCCGCTCGCGGTCTGGGCAGAGACGTCGAACCGGATATACCGATGGTCCGACAGCGTCTCCACCTCCACGGCGACACGCCAGTCGCGGACTCGGCTGGCGACAGAGGGGCTAGCAAACGAGACGTCCACTATCGAGCCGCCCCGCTGCCGCACGCACGTGTATTCCGAACCCCGATTCAGGACGACCAGACCAGTTGTCACCGCCCACTCTTCTAGCACCTCGCCCCGATTGTCAGTGACCGGAGATCCCCACGCCGATGACTTGGCGTTGAGATCCCCGAGCACCAGAACCTAACCTAACCTAACCTAACCTAAACCCTAACCTAAACGAGTAAAGCTGCTGCGTCGTCCGCCGTGACTACCGTTTCAGCTGAGCGATCATTCGCGGCCTCCGTCGCGCCCTCTAAAACACCTACACTTGCTCGTAGGTCGCCTGCGCCCGCCTCCTCGTGCTCCGACTCTGACTCGGACATGAAGGTCGACCTCGCCCCCGCCTCATCGACGAATGGATTCATCCTGGTACAGAAGGGTAAGAAGCGTGCCGCGGAGTCCTGAGCTCCCGCGGCCCCTAAAATTAGCAAAGCCGCGAACGCGTCGCGCCCCCGCCCTCACACTCCCGATGCGCCCCCAGCCCGTGCCACTCCGTCGCCGCGTCCGGTGGCACAAAATAAAACCCCTCCCCCGGTTATCCTTCAGGAGAAGGCAGCTTGGGATCGAGTTTGCCTGGCCCTTAAGGCCAAAAATATCAATTTCACGAATGCCCGTAACCTTGCGAACGGCATTCAAATTAAGGTTCAAACACCCGACGACCATAGAGGGCCCTCTCTTCTTACCTCCGTAAGGAGCGTATAAGTTTCCATACGTATACGCTCCAGGAGGAGCGCGAACTCCGCGTTGTAATACGCGGAATCCTTAAAGAGTTAGATGTAGAGCTCATGAAGGCCGATCTGTTAGAACAGGGCTTACCAGTGAATTCTGTGCACCGTATGCACACCGGTCGCGGTAGGGAGCCATATAATATGGTTCTAGTCGCCCTCCAGCCTACCCCCGAGGGTAAGAAAATCTTCAACACACAGACCGTCTGTAGGCTCTCCGGTATCGCCGTCGAAGCCCCCCATAAAAAAGGCACTCCTAGCCAGTGCCATAACTGTCAATTGTACGGGCACTCTTCCCGTAACTGTCACGCGCGCCCCCGATGTGTTAAGTGTTTGGGCGATCACGCCACGGCCCTCTGCGCTCGCGACCAAAAAACCGCGACGGAACCGCCTAGCTGCGTCCTGTGTC